AATTTTCTTTCTTTGCGCGTGAAACAATTGTAAACAGTGTCTGTGGTGCGGGATAAGACTTTTTAAACAAAGCATTTATTGATCCTAATGTATTTCATCGACTTATTGCTTAGTTGACCCTCAACGGGATGCAAATCCGCTATAGCTGCGCTTTTTAGACCGTTTAGTCTCGAACACAAATAGTGTAGCAGCTCATTGCCGGCTACTTATTCAAGCAAAAAGTACCAATTTTCTTCATGTATCAGGTACCGGAAAGAATAAAGTGAGAAAACACAGAAAGTAAATGCCCTGCATTTACTTTTCCCGGATCTTTTGTTGCACATACCCATCAGCTGCTGGACGGGAGTCTACGAAAAAGAAGCGGAAACGTATTCGTAAAGAATATTATGTATGCAACATAGGTGGCGGAACGGGGGGCACCGGGGTACCGTGTCCCCTGATTTTGGCATTTTTACATTAGCCCTATGGGCGTTGCATGGAAAGAATGGGGCCAAAAGTCAGCAGTGCCCCCCCCCCTTAATTGAAGGTGTTCCGCCACTACTGACATGCAATAGGTATGTATATTTGTTTTCAAATGTGTGACATGTACAGGTCTCGCGGGTTTTAGCGGTAGGTTTTGCACCTAGAAAATTTAGTGTACTTCAGGCTATATCTTCGTCGTCTTAAGGTTTTAAGTGTTGAAGATGCGATCGACATGTTGGTTCACAAGCCGGCCATGATCGTATAAAATGGCTTCATCGTAGATCGATTAGTTTCTGAGATATAATCGTAAATGTAAAAGTGCAAAACCTACCGCTTAATCTTGCTAGAGCCGTACCTAACTTAAATCAGTCAACAATGACTGTAGTAATAATAGTACCTACAGAGCATATATTCAATCGATGATGCATTTGATTGCCGTTTTCAGTTATTAGGTAGGTATAAGGTTTAAAGTAGGCACAACTTGAAAGCCCTATTTTATTTTTTACAATGATCTGTAATTTACTTAGTTTAAGGTTATTCGATATGAATAACACACCAAACCAACATCGTAAATAGACACACATCAAATACAATCGATAATAGATTGACACACACCAGAGGAAGAATGATAATATGAGCGTTAGACCTACTGGAATCATGAACTTTCCCTGACGATATCCCGCCCTCTGATGAGCGTAACTGCGCATCACATCCGGAGTTGTTATAGTGGGGGCCCAGGGCACGTGCCCTGCGAGACACCACCCGGGCCAGACGGCGGCGCCCCATGACCGCCGGTATCTGCCAAACTGCCAGGCGCCGGCCAGCCCACCAGGCTATTTACATTATAAGGGGGAGTGGCGCTCCGTACCGTCAACACGTGTCACTGGCGGAGCGTGGGTTTGACAGTGCGGTTGGCAGTCTGATAATGAGACAAATGTATCATATAGAAACGCATATGAGTGCATATTGCATACTGCAGGATAATAATTAATGAAATTGCTATAATTCAGTTGAAACACGCATGCAGATAGCTGGTTTGCTTTAAATTCTCGCCCGCATGGGGGGGTTCGAAAGCACCCCCTCATGTTACATGTTTCTAGGCCAGTTTTTGGAGCTGAAAACGAAACTTCAGTATCCTTGAGTTGATCAATTTTACACCTACCCTGAAAATGTCATGACCCTGACCCACATGGCCTTTGACCTGTGACATACTTTTCGAGACCATGTTTGGCCGGAATCGCGATTCGGCGTTTGTCGGCTCGCATTAGCCGCGCTTTTGCAGTATTTTCGTGTTTCAAGCGTTCAAACATATGATGTGATGTTGCCCCCATGCATTAGGGTGGGTGCCAAGGTCACCTGAAGGTCAGGTCAGGCCATTGACCTTTGATGACCTCGGTTCACTTTTTCGAGCTTTACATGTTTCTAGGCCAGTTTTTGGAGCTGAATTCGAAATTAGCAACCATATGAACATTAACGAAGTTGTTTTGGTGCCTTCGTAACATGTTACGAAGCTGTCAGAGGCGGTTGACACCTACTACGAATACCCGGCAGGACCCCTACTGGATGACCTGACCTGACCTGACCCGACCTGGCCTAAATGCATGAAGACATCATATCTGTGATTAAAACTAACATGATATTCGTGATCAGCACCCCGAAAAACCCCATAGCAGCCACACTTTACGACGTTCTAACAGGTCCCGATTTTTCCGACTTTTGGGTCATTGACCTGACCTGGAAGGTGAACCAATGACCTAGGACCTTAAAAGTGGGTATCATCGGCTTCCTCTCGTCACGGGCAGCACGCTCGTTTTTTCCGCGAAGCTCTAGCTCGATCCGGGGCGAAACGGCAAGGGGAGGGGGTCCAACCGACCCCCTCCCCTTATACGTTCCCGGCTGGAAAAACACCAATACGGGCGAGGGTTAACATGGTGTACATTTTCAACAACTCAAATCATATTTACCGGGTCTGCCGTCTGAGCGTTGCTCAGCCAGCTTCTTCACAAAGAGATGTTGCTTATCTAATGAAGGTATGTATTAAAAGGAGCTTGCTCCGCAGAGCAATTGAATCACTATAGGTATAGTCGCTTAGTAGTCGCTGAGTGTTAAACATTATATTTGCTCAAATTACAGCTAAAGCGGCGTCATTTGGTCAGAGTGTTGACGTTCAGTGCGTCTTTGTTGCAGTGCGTCTCACAGGGACGAAGCTGGTCTGCGGAGAGGGTGGCTGCGGCGCCTGTACTGTCATGGTCTCCAAGTATTCTCCGGACAGAAAGAAAATTGTGTATCCTTTCATACAATAGCTATTTCATTCACTGACCTAGGGTGTGTTTGATTGTTGTAGCATTTTCGGATAAAGACATTTTAATTTTAAAATATCAGACTTATGATACCTATTACCTAGGCATAACACCCTGACCAATTATTCATTCGTTTGAGAACACGAATGAATGAATAAATTTACGAATGATTGAATGAACGAACTAATGTTTGATTGAGCAAAGGAGCGCAGGTTGAATAACGAATAAATGAACTAATTAATTAATCAACTAATAAATAAATTAATTTATGAAGTACTGACCAAGGAAATGAACGAAGAGTGAATGAATGGATGAATGAATAAATGAATGAATGAAGGAAGGAATGAACGCATAGGTAGGTATCTCGCGCTCTCCGCTCCGTTCTGTTTCCTGAGCCGCCGACTGACCAGTCACCTGTCGGTGAACGCCTGTCTGATGCCGCTCTGCGCCGCCCACGGGCTGGCCGTGACCACTGTCGAGGGCATCGGCTCCTCCAAGACGCGTCTTCACCCCGTGCAGGTCAGTGCTGCAGGCACGAGTGCCACCCCAGGGTGTCGTGGACTAATTATATACCATCATAATGTCAGCGCGCTGTATATATGTGGTGACACGTGGGGACGAAATGATGACTGATGTTGTCATCTTTAGCTCGATAGGTCAATGTGTAGGGACGAGTTGAATCGTGGTACTGGTGATGACCTAACTTCCGGCTTCGTTTATTGTCATTTGTGTAAATTTAGCTCAACGACTTTGCAAAAACGATAAATCAGATGATTGATGTCTTTAACAGCGGACGTATACTTACCTACCACATGTAGAACGTGCAAACATCCGTCCGTTAACGAAATCATAATTCATTATCAGAGATGCTAAGCAAGTCGCTGGCCATCAGATTAACGATTAGCTCTGTTACGTTGGGACATTGAAAAATGAATGTCATGAACAAAAACGATGCAAGCATAGATTGTAAACTATCTTAAGTGTTTACTCAGAACTATATAATAAATCGCATTTTATAAGCCCACATACCTACAGCGCAACGGTCTCTCGCAAGATCCCCCGTTTATTATGTTTTTTTTTTCTCTGAGCATAGCACCAGTGGGAACCAGACAATTCAGGGAATGTCCAGCTTTCAAGTGCACATACCTACCAGTCATTAACACACTTTTGTAATCACAGTCGCGTCTGGCCGGGTCTGTGCAATGTCACAAAGGACACAGTCCAGAGAGGCCACGTAAACGGAAACTCCAGCCACCTCTGTTCGATAACTCGAAGGCGATAAGTCGGATACCTAGAACCAAAGCGTGACCTGGGTGGAACTATTACGATGCTGTAACAGTTCAGTGTAGTGAGAAATGTTTCGAGAGTATACTTAAATGGATGACGTCTAAAAAAATCGGTATCAATGCTAAACTCTCTACATAATACGCTGAAAAGCGAACCCATTATAAAAAATCAGATTTTTTCATTTATTCTAACAATCACACATTCATACCAACAAACAATCAAAATATTCATATAAGCCGTTTCCGAAAAATGATGCGAAGTGGTGCTCTTTGATTTATTATTCGCGTCGATCGAGAAAAAAAAAACGATGCACGTAATCGTACAAAATATTAACATTTTCAATATGCCTTTAGCCTTAAATGTGAAAAGTTTTAGAATGAGCGCCATTAAATCATTCCAGCGTCCACCCAACACCAGGATCTCCTCTAAGTCCAGTCTCTCTGTTTCCGACGGCCGTCCGCCGTGTCCCCCACAGGAGCGTCTGGCCAAGTCACACGGCTCGCAGTGCGGCTTCTGCACGCCCGGCATCGTCATGTCCATGTACACCCTGCTCAGGAACCGGCCGCAGCCGTCCATGCAGGACGTCGAAACCTACATGCAAGGTGAGAATCAAGTGGATATCCGTCTGATCAGGTTTACATGGTGGTTGATTATCTCAGTAGACAGTATCGGTCCTGCATTCAGAATGGCCGCTCTAATCTCGAGAATTTCCTAGATGCTTCTTCGAATCGTTATGGCGATGCTTAAATGGTACCGAATCCAGCATGATTTTCCCTTCACACATTCGGAGACCTCAATGCGGGCCGGCAGGTAACTTGTGCCGGTGCACCGGCTACCGAGCGATCCTGGACGGTCTGCGGACGCTCACCACCGACTCCGGCGGCTGTGGCGCGCAGAACTGCTGCCGGACCAACGGCAGCACCGGCGGGTGTGGGCCGGGAGACCGACAGACGAACGGAACGGGCTCCGGAGAGAACGGGACCGGCTCCGGAGTAAACGGAACGGGCTCCGGAGAGAACGGGACGGGCTCCGGACTAAACGGATCGGGCTCCGGAGAGAACGGAACAAACTCCGGACAGAACGGATCGGGCTCCGGACAGAACGGGACCGGTTCCGGAGTAAACGGGACGAACTCTGCAGAGAACGGCGCGGGCTCCGGACAAAACGGAACGGGCTCCGGAGTAAACGGGACGAATTCCGGAGTAAACGGGACAAACTCCGGACAGAACGGGACCGGCTCTGGGGAGAACGGGACGGGCTCAAGACAGAACGGGACGCCTACCAACGGCGCTTACCGGGAGGAGGACCGCGTGGGCACCTCGCTGTTCAACACAGAGAGACTGACGCCGTACGACCCGACCCAGGAGGCCATCTTCCCGCCCGAGCTCATGGTGAGGAATTAATTCAGCTTGTTCAAAGAATTAATTCAATTTAATTAATTCTTTAATTAATTCAGCTTGAAGACAAAACAGCTGACTTACATATGACTATGACTATAACGCATCAACTGACGCTGAAGCAATGTTAACGCGCTTAAGCGCTTTGACCGAGCTGAAAGGACCGCTAACCGATTTTTCTGCGACACATCGTTTCTCGTTTATCAAAAAGGTGACTAGAAAACTAACCATTAGCCAACTGTAGGCATAGTGCTAGTTCAGATGACTGATAAAATAAAAGCTGGCGACTCAAAGAACAGCCACGATTAGTTGGTGTTGTCGTGGCGCCACCTTCATCATACCAGGCGAGGTCGCTGACATTACGCACACATGTGTAGTCAAACATACAGACGCTCATGGTCCACCAGTTCATCGTTTTTTGGCCCATTGTTTACCGCCCCAGAACAGACTGAAAGTCTGAAACTAAAAACAAGGAGAGTGCTGTGTGACAGATGTTACCGACTTGGTAAATACATAAGCTGATGATTCAGATAGTCTGTAAGACAGTCACAATAGCTAGTGGAATACTAAGACACGATACAACGATACCTTCAACTAGATCGCGTTTTAAAGGGACTATCCCACCTTTAACATGGGGTTTGAGTTGAGATAGCCAAGTTTGCGGCGAGGTTCAGAAACCACTATCTATCTAGGTTGCAACCCCCGCGGCCTCTTGGTGTTGAAGAAATTCGTTCCCTTCATTTGAAAATGGGCCTTGTACAAGGCCCTATCTTCAACATGGAGCGACCGTTAGTGTGACGTCACCTCGTTTAGTCATTCTGATTTAAATGGGTTTGTTCGTTGAAAAATCGCTTAAAACTTGGTCTGAACTTTGTTGTGGTGCCTACAGAGTAAAAAGAATCAGCTTTATGACAGTAATGTGGCCTGGGGAAGGAGGTAATTTTGGGCTGTGACGTCACACATTTGAAAGTTTGTGTTCGGAATATGGGAAGCCTAAGATGTTTAATGAAAAATAAATGCCAGAACCGTGTTCCTGGTCATCCAATCTATAAAGTCGGGCACAATTTAACTGGTTTTAACAACATTTTAGAAGGTGGGATAGTCCCTTTAATTGAGGCATTGGGAACCAGGTTCGAGCAAGGTTTGAAAAACTGGTAGGAACCGATCAGGTAATACTGGATCTACTCCTCATCACTCGAGTAACCGTCAGTTAGTAACTTAAATAACGAGTGTTATCCCCGCCAGCTGCGGCCGGACTGGGTGAGCCGACCTCTGAAGTTCAGCGGACCGCGGGTGACCTGGCACCGACCCGCCACACTGAGCGAGCTTCTCCGACTGAAGGCCGCCTACCCAGACGCCAAACTGGTCAACGGCAACACTGAAATCGGTGAGAATCGGCCTCACAATGGTCGCGATTCAGTTCAGGCCACAGCCTATGACCGACATACCTGCCAAAGGAGATAAAAAGCAGCCTTTTTGGATGTAGCTTTACTGCCTGATACTATGGGGTGGCAAACATCACCACATCCCAGTTTCGCTACGTTGGCAGGTGTTGAGGTGAAACTGAAGCGATGCGAGTACCCGGTGCTCATCAACCCGGGTCAGGTGACCGAGCTGACCTCCGTGACCTGGGACGAGGACGGCGTGACCTTTGGAGCCGCCGTGACCTTGTCGGACATAGAGGCGGAACTGCAGGCGGCGCAGAGCCAGCAGCCTGGTGAGACGTTAGGGGGATTTAATGGAACAATGGCGAGAATACTAATGCCTTTCTGACAATCGTATTGAGTGATCTACATTTAATCATTAGGAAACGCTACTGTTTGCTCTAACATAGCATCTAGATATGGCAAGCTAATTTTTCTTAAAACTAAACTTAAAATTAAGTTTAACGTTTTTTTTTGTAACATATGAAATGGTGCACGCACTTCAGGGAAAAAAGTAACTTTTATAATGTCCTTTCATGGCTGAGATAACTTGCGATCACCCTTGGATATTTTGCACCTAACCCCAATGTTAATTTTGGTCGTTTGCAGCCTGGAAGACCCGAGTTTTCTCTGCTATAACAGAGATGCTACGCTGGTTCGCCGGAACACAAATTCGAAACGTCTCTGTGAGTACCGCAGTAGGTATTTTTTTTTCGATAGTTAAAGCCGTGATCAAGGTAATGAAAAAGACAATTCTAGAGATCACCCAGCGACCGCAAACTGTAGCACTTTTTCACATAAAATGCACTTCAACCGTAACTGTCGACAACGGATGCCGTAAATCCACCCATTGTCTATGTATGAGGACATCCGACTGGAATCTGCGGCTTCACAGGCGATCGGAGGAAACATCATGACGGGCAGTCCCATCTCGGACCTGGTGCCCCTGCTCATGTCGGCCGACAGCCAGCTGACCCTGATGACGTCATCAGGGGAGCAGAGGACGGTCCCGATCCGCGGCTTCTACACGGCTTACCGACGGAACATTGCCAGACCTGACGAGATTCTGCTCTCCGTCACTGTGCCGTACACGGCTGAGGTAAGAGAAATCGTTTTTTTAAGCCGTTTGAACCAGCATTTAAGTGGCACTCGAGGAAAAAGGCCGCCTATAGGTAGCTTTGAAATAGTAAGTTGAAATATAACTTGAAAAGGCGACGAAGAACCGTTACAACTATCGAAGGACACGGATCACTTAACAAATTAGGGACGCAGCAACGGGAGCATGAAGGGAATCTCAAACGGAGTCTGTATTTGCAATCATCACCTTGAGACATGACCGTTTTTACAACTGCAGGACGAGTTTTTCATGGGCTTCAAGCAAGCCCATCGACGAGACGACGACATAGCCATCGTGAACGCGGGCTTCTTCGTCCGGATCCGCGACCAAAAGGTCCACACTTTCCGCGCTACGTACGGAGGAATGGCAGCGACGGCGGTCTCCGCAACCAAGACGGAACAGACACTCGTCGGCAGGCAAGTTGACCTGATGGGCAGTAGAGGCTAGCTCGTGTGACCGATGTACTGCCTCATGTGCATTGATGGTGGGGAAGAACATGAGGTCCGTCTGTCGTGTGATGTGATTGCCTCCCCTGTGTTGCTGGGTCAACCTCATCCGTGTCTTATCCGCTGTCTTCTGCAGGCCCTGGGACGACTCGCTCCTGCAGGAGGCGGTGTCTCTGCTGCTCGAGGACCTGCCTCTCGGTCCCAGCGCTCCGGGAGGCATGATCGAGTACAGGCGCACGCTGACGCTCAGCTTCTTCTTCAAGTTCTACCTGCAGACGTGCGGCTGGATCACGGGCAGGGTCGACGAAAGCTGCAAATCTGTACTGGAGAAGTTCCACAGACCGACACCCGCGTCCACGCAGCTCTACCAAGTGGTAAGGAACTCAGCTCGCTGATGTTTGACGGTTATTGTGTCCACATCACTTACCTAAGTTGATGATTCATTTGACGACTCCGCGAGAGAATCACTTTCCGGTGCGGCTTTCAGGTTCCCGACGACCAGCCGGTGGAGGACCTGGTGGGTCGGCCCGTGGCGCACATGTCGGCGCTGAAGCAGGTCACCGGAGAGGCCCAGTACCTGGACGACATCCCGCCGCTCGCCGGGGAGCTCCACGCCGGCTTCGTGCTCTCATCTCGAGCGCACGCGCGCATTGTGTCGGTGGACGCCCGGGAGGCACTGCAGGAGCCCGGGGCTACTCACTTCTTCAGCGCCAAGGACATCGCACCGGAGAGAAACAAGTGAGTGAAACTTGCCTATAAGATGTAAAACGTGACTTTATCATACTCCTGAATTTGGTTTGCTCGGATTCACAAGTCACGAATAGTGCGATACACGACCTAACTAAACCGACCATTTTGGCAGAACTGGACCCTCGCCCCATCATCAAGACGAAGAGGTGTTCCGAGCCGAGACTGTAACCTCGATGGGTCAGGTGATCGGTCTTGTGCTGGCCTGTGACCGCGCCACCGCACAGCGCGCCGCCAAGAAGGTCAAGGTCACGTACGAAGACCTGCCCGCAATCATCACCACTGAGGTATGGGACGACATAAAAAAAGCTAGACGTCGTATCATAAAACAATTTAGGTACATCTCATTTCATCACTCGTTTCAACAGCTCTGGCAGGTCTGCTACATTTGGTTTCGCTGTGCCGTCTCCATCGCATCCCTACGACCTGTGGAAGATGCTTAGTGCCAAGGCCCTAAATACACTTAGAGCATTGTTTCAGCCTAAATACCCGAAATTCACCAAGTCATCTACAAGAACACTGCCTCGACATCCCATCGACTTCCAGGACGCGATTCGCGAAAACTCATTCACGCCGACGGTGCACTACTTCGAGCACGGTGACGTGGACGCCGCGTTCTCCTCGGCCGCTCACGTCGTCGAGGGCTCGGTCCGGATGGGCGGCCAGGAGCACTTCTACCTGGAGACGGTCGGCTGCATCGCCGTGCCGAAGGAGGACAACGAGATGGAGGTGCACGTGTCGTCACAGGGTCTGAACATCAACCAGGTGGGCACCTACTCATACGTCAATGGATGATGTAGGGGTGGCATGGGATGGCAATCCATAAACAACCTTGCATCGTGGTCTTGCATCGTGCAGCTGTCGAAGCTGCATCTACATAGGTCACTGTACGAAAAGGAAGAATAGCATGCAACTGAACTTGTTCTATACCTACATTTATGCAAAGTTTGTGGATATGAATGTCTCGGTGTCGATGTTTTCAATCATCCTCCGAAGCTCACGAATGTCGATTGCTATTCGTGTGAGATGGCTATCCACGTCTTTAGCGTCCTCAGCAAACCAGCATTCACCATATCTGAGCACGTTGCCTTCCAATCGGCAGATGCTGATCGCTCGTGCTCTGGGCGTGCCCGCTAACCGGATCGTCTGCAAGGCCAAGCGTCTGGGAGGAGGATTCGGAGGGAAGGAGTCGCGTACATGCTCCGTCACCACCCCAGTGGCAGTGGCTGCCAACAGGTGGGCCAGGCATCACGACCAGCGACAGCGACATATCGGTCATCAGCGGCATTTTAGCACAATGGCGCAAAGGCATAAGGGCTTCAACGGGATGGTTATGTAGGACGTGCTACCCTCAGGATTAGGTAGCCTGAAGATGAGCTGTGGACTAATGCCAACTGTTATAGCATCGCTGTTTTGCTAGGAACATTTTTTTAGGGTAACGAGTGAGGGAAATCACTTATCACCATCGTCTTTCAGAACCTACCTTTGCATGATTATTTGCCCATCTGTTTCGTTCGCTATCTCGCATGAAACATTCCGCGGCCCTTCTGTCAGGTCCGGGCGTCCTGTGAGGGCCGTTCTGGAGCGAGACGAGGACATGGCCTCTATGGGCACCCGGCACCCGATGCTAGCCAAGTACAGGGCTGGTGTTACCGCCGAAGGCAAGGTGACCTGCGTCGAGATGGAAATCTTCCTGAACGCCGGTTTCAGCCACGACCTCTCATTGGGTGTGAGTTGGCAGTTGGCTTAATGGGAATGTTGTTGTAAATGTGTGGTACCATGACCTCTCATTGGCTGTGAGTTGGCTAAACAGGGATGTCGTTCTCAATGTGTGGTACCGTTCACCTGCAAACTTTCGCAAAACTGCCTTTACACTTTTCTTTTTTTGCGAAAGGTGGAGTCAAGCTATGTAATCTGTAGCGGTTGGGTTTAGTAAGCAGCAGGTGTAATGATTTACAATGAATGATTTTGTTTCCACAACGTCTTTGAGCATAACGTGAACTAATGAAGACCCTGGATCAGGTTTTCACTCTTCTTTGACCCGTGTTACCCAGGTTATTTCTCGAGCGACCACCTCGTGCGACAACGCGTACCACTACCCGGCGTACCGGATCACGGGCAAACTGTGCCTGACCAACACGCCCTCGAACACGGCGTTCCGCGGCTTCGGTGGGCCGCAAGGCTCCATGGTGGCCGAGGCCATGATGGACGACATCGCCAGCCAGCTGCGACTGGACGCCACACAGGTGACGGAAAAAGCGAGAGAGAGAGAGAGAGAGAGAGAGAGAGAGAGAGAGAGAGAGAGAGAGAGAGAGAGAGAGAGAGAGAGAGAGAGAGAGAGAAGAGAGAGAGAGAGAGAGAGAGAGAGAGAGAGAGAGAGAGAGAGAGAGAGAGAAAGAGAGAGAGAGAGGGAGAGAGAGAGAGAGAGAGGGAGAGAGAGAGAGGGGGGGTACTGGGGAAGAATGACGAGAGAGAATGACAAATTAAGGAGCTCACCTCTACATGAAAAGGCCATCTACGACTGATCCAGCTTTGAGAAGGTAGCTATAAGCACTTCGACTACGCCCTGTTGACAACATTCCGATCTCCAATGTTCTCCACTTGACGGCCGTCCGTGTTACCAGGTGAGGATGGTGAACCTGGTGCAGGAGGGGCACCTGAACGTCACCCGCCAGCCCATGGTGCAGGTCACCGTGGACCGATGTATCGCCGAGGTCGTCCAGAAGGCCGGGCTCAGACGGCTCCAGCAAGAGGTGGAGACGTTCAACAGGTCAGCGAGCTTGCTCTACTCCCTTATGCAGAGAAAAATAGCCGACCAGAGTGCTGGTACTGCCACCGTCTTTTATCTTCGTCGCTGTACCGAACATGACAGATGGCTTGACCTCATCTCCCACAACCTTTACAAGCTCCACTGCTTGCTTCTAGAAGTGGAAGACGGTAACTTCGTGCAAACATTCATCGTGAGTGAACTTACCTACTAAAAGGCAATGCAAAAACGTAAAAAATTGTAAGCTTGTGGGGTTGAGTGCTCTGACCCACTTTCGCCCCGGACTAAGCACGTCTCACATCTGCCCCCACCGCACAGGCTGAATCGCTGGAAGAAGCGCGGCGTGGCGCTGATCCCCAACAAGTTCAACATCGCGTTCGGTCTGGCGCTGCTGAACCAGGGCGGCGCTCTGGTGCACATCTACACGGACGGCTCTGTGCTGGTCACCGTCGGTGGGGTGGAGATGGGACAGGGCCTCTTCACCAAGTGCTACCAGGTGGGCGGCAGGCGGCATGGCTGACACGTCAACGTGGTGATACTGCTTCAACATGGCGTTTGCGGGGGATTTGTTCGGTGTTTGATTTTTTTACTATACCTTCTCTTGGACGATGAAGATGTTAAGTAATGTTTCAAAGTTACAAAATATGCGACATTGAATACGAAGTCGACGGCCTTTCGCACCAAAGGCTCGTTTGGGTGAGATGCCATTCTTGTATCGTTGTCGCTTGTATGAAATTTAATTAAAGACATTTGTCTAATGTTATCAGTGATTCACATTCACTTTTTCATCTGCGACCGATGACCGTTTTCTATTTTAGGTGGTGACGAGGGTTCTCGGGGTCTCCGCCGACCGCGTCTACATCTCTGAGACGGCGACAGACAAGGTGCCGAACGCCTCCCCGACGGCGGCTTCCATGAGCACCGACCTCTACGGAGCGGCCGTCCTCGTGAGTACCGCGGCAGGAGCACGGCCGTGAACCACTGTGTTATACTTATTCTGTATGGGGGATTTCTGTCGCCATGGCCCACGCCAAACGGAGTCTTTTGCACATTTTCTGACCCATGATTCTGTAACACGATAATCCTGGTCCGAAACTTCGGTACGATCGACAAAATCTATTGTCGAACGTTTTTAGATGTTTTCCTTATATATTTTTTCCTGTTCACCATATTGCTAAGACAGGGATCAGCCCCGTTATTGATGCAATATCTAGCCTGATCACTTTCACTGGCCGCAAGTAATTCACGAGTAATCCCCAAATGACGAAACGGCCGGAGTCGTGCTCACCGATCGAACACGAGTTTTCCTATATATCTGTAACCCATGCCAAAAATAAATGTCAAACAATAGACGCGTTTACAAAGGGTTTGTTGCAAACTTATATCTCCGTCCGTGATGTTGCAAAAGATGCCAATGGTGCTGAACAATTTACAAAATGATCCCCTCTAAATATTTGAAGACCACTGCATCGAAATTATCGCCAAATTAACGAGCTAGAGCCTCGTCAAATATGCCTCGTCATAAATGTCGAACTAGCCCATGTTCTGTCACTGAGACTAGAGGATGGCTAACGCCCGTCTCGCACAGAACGCCTGCGAGCAGCTGCGGGAGCGGCTGGCGCCGTTCCGTAAGGCGGCCCCGGACGGCACATTCAGCGACTGGGTGCTGGCCGCCTACCAGAGCCGGGTCTGCCTGTCCGTCTGCGGCTTCGAGGCGTGAGTACCGAGCGGAAACGCAGCATACGGCGGGAGTATTTATTCCAACAGTATTCCTATAATTTAGGATATTCAAGTAAATCCAAAAAGGAAGATCTATGATCTATCTGCATTAGTGGCATGAGGAACACCGATCGGCGTGAACGAGTAGACCGCTGAACGCTCCAAACATAAAATTCCGGTCGCAATGTCGACTATTTACATATGTATATATGTTCACAGATGCTCAGCCTCACTAATCCATTTCCAAAATCGGATGTAATCCTGTTTTCACAGGACGAAGGGCCTGGCCTTTGACCCGCTCACTCATATTGGCGACATGTATTCGTACTTTGTGTTCGGCGCCGCCTGCTCGCTGGTGGAGGTGGACTGTCTCACCGGGGACCACCAGGTAACGAACAGATAGTCAGCTGACACTTCATGTTGTGTAGAGAAGCGATTACTTACATTTAACTAGCCAGTAGCCATACGGTCCATCGTAATAACTTATTTCAGATTTTCCTAAACGCATCAATGATCGGATTACCGATTTAGAACGCAGAGGTCTGGGATAAGACTGAAGCTTATGGATAATATATAAATTAACTTTCTGAATCTCCTCAATCCCGCTCGAACTTCACGGTTATGTTATCAGAAATGTGCCCGGAAGTTATCGCGCCGATGTCGGTCCTCAGGTCCTGAAGACGGACATAGTGATGGACGTCGGAGAGTCCCTGAACCCTGCAATCGACATTGGCCAGATCGAGGGCGCCTTCATGCAGGGCTACGGCCTCTTCTGCATGGAGAGGCTCAAGTACTCTCCGAATGGGTTCAACTTCACCCGTGGACCGGGAGCCTACAAAATACCAGGTGATTAGATTCAGGATACGCTAGTATTGTACAGCTTAGTTTCCAGTAAAATGTTTGTATCCGCATTGTGTGTTAATGTTAAGACTTGATCGGCATGGTATTTGATCTCTATAATGAGTCCCACTTTGAAATCACGCAAAGTTTACAGTTATAAGCCGTCTGATGCATCTCTTCCGTGACCATACACACGCCCCACCAAGCCCATACCTCATCCTTCCAACACGCAGTCAGACCCTGACCTGCCGCTGTCGGCTGCCCGGCAGGGTTCGGTGACATCCCGCTCGAGCTGCACGTGTCACTGCTGCGCGGCTCGCCCAACCCGCGCGCCGTCTACTCCTCGAAGGCCGTCGGCGAGCCGCCGCTGTTCTCTGCCGCCTCAGTCTTTTTCGCCATCAAGGAGGCGGTGCGCGCGGCGCGTGCCCAGAACGGTATCAGCGAGCCGCTCAGAATGGAAAGCCCAGCCACCCCCGACCGGATCCGTATGGCCTGCCGAGATATGTTCACCGACAAGGTGATGAGCCACAGCGGGTGGTTGGGGAAAATGTGCTTACCGACATTTTCACGATCGTCTCGATCAGGAGAGATAAGTTCAAGGACAGGGTGAAAGTTTGTGTTCCATGGAGATATTTATTGTTTTGTGTTAACGGGCGGGCGTTTGTCAGATAATCCACTGTGTCAGTGGAAACCTCAGCCATCCTTCCATGGTGTATAGTTATATCTAAATTTAATTTTCGCGATTTCGTTTCAGCTTCCACCGGCTCCAGAGCCGGGCAGCTTCAAACCCTGGATGGTAGACCTGTGATGGCGCCTACGACAGCAGAATCGATGGATTCACCAGGAAACGTCGTGAAGTCAAACGGCCGACACTGCTTCAGATCGTGTCACGTTTGTGATATAGGCAGGGCCTTGGCCACATTGCAAGACTTGTCCGAAGTTGCGAGGGTGATGGACGCATTTTCCTTGGAGCGTAACTGGGAGAAAAGTGCCTTGTATGAATATCGTCATGTAGTTCTACGCCACTACGATTGTAGTTTTTTTTCTACAGCTTAAATATAAGTAGTTATTAGTTGACATTGAAGCTATTAGTTGAAGCTTTGTAGGCTGCCATATAATCTGTGAACGGGGTTTCGTTGTATGACGTTGGTATTTGTGTCAGTATTTACATTTTTGACATGACTTCTGGGTTAGTTGGTCCACGGTTGACACTTTGTTCACTTACCCGGAAATGTGGGATCATGACTGCCAGGAAAATAGTGATAAAACTTCAAGTGTTAATATGTTTTGCATATGTGTTATGTAAGGACTAATGATGGAATATTACTAGAGGCGGCAGGTCTGTCACTTTTAAAATTAGGTAAGTAGGTACTTGAAACGAGCTGAGTGACGATAAGTGGTGCAATATGACACTCTGACTTTAATATGCTTACTTTAGAGAGAAGTGCGTTGCAAAAGCGGTGTATTAATTAAAAGTAACGTATGCATGTAGTTGAATGGCACTATTATTGGAGGTTTGCGAAATACACCTTTAACATCAACCATAACACGAATTATTTCGTCTTGTGTTCATCTACGTCGGTCCCGGTCTAGTTGTGATAATACTCAGAGCGCATAATGTTAGGTATAATAGCTGGTGTCACCGTAGTTATTCCATGTTACATATTTACGCTCGACTGTAATGTAAGTAAGCTTACGACTTTTCACCTTTCGTTTCGTGTATTGTCCATATGCACTTTTATAACGCATTGACAACGTCATCACGTGCCACAAAACGTGCCACTCGTATGTCCATTTACATGAGTGTTTTTTCACGATTGACAACAATGTCCCTCAAAACACGATGTGACTAATAGGAAGCAAACCTCACAAGACGTCCGCCATTACCGCCCAGGCCTATAACTCAGCCTCATGATAATTAAATCGCTACAAATGGGCATAGTTGAAGTAAGCGGTGACGTAAAATGTACACAACAGTTTAATAAGCGTAAGGCTACCTACATTTTGATATATTGAGCGAATTATGGTAATGCTTACTTACCTAATGCTGAAAATAACGTTCATGAATAACAATCATAATTTGATGGTTTCATACAGCGGCGTATTTAGAAAATCGCGAAGGGGGGGGGGGCCAAGGGTTTGGAGGGCGCCACCTCACCCAAGGAGGGCGCCATACGGTCGCGAGATAAAAAATCGCTCAGCGGGGTGGGGGGGGGGGGGGGGGGTGGGAGGCGTTTTTTACCATGCCACCAGTTTTTTTTTGCGTAACCTCGTATAGGTCGTGCTGCATTGATTTTGCATCGTGTGTCTTCTTTATACTCCAGGTCACAAAAGGTCAAGTGTTCTTGAAATGCTGCGCCGAAGGCGCGCGAAATTTTTGAAAACAACCTTTTCCTCCGCTTTTTAGGCACGCCTTTTATACGATCACCGTTCAAAGCTCCTCTCGCTCTTTTACCAAATTTGAAGGTGTAAAAAATACCAAAGGTTTGGTCGGGCCGCTGCCACACAAACTGTATAGAAAGCTTGGCTCATGGGTGTCGATGTATAAAAGTTTATTGGCGGTGGCATATCTACGCACCAGATCACCGTATCGGATTGATACCGGAGCGCGAGATGCGTAAACATCATCCAAATTACCTCAGACCAGCCTTCATAGCCTTCTCACAGATGCATACAGTGTACCCACATAACCAGTTTCAATCACCGAAACTTCAGATGCCTGCTGTTGCGGCCGAACCTGTTGACAATACTTAATCGTAATCCATATATATGCCATGATGCACGTAAAGCAGGATCAATCCGTTAAGACCAAAGACGTGTTTTATGCATCGTAGAGCGTAGATAGTTTTGGTAGGTATAGGTACTTCATTCATTGTGCTGAATGCACGTTCATTTGTGGCAGTTTTCACAGGCAAGACATCAACTATGTGCAATAGAACGACTAAGTTGAAAAACATGCCAAAGGAGTAAATAAATGATAAGAGGGCAGCGATCAACGGATGTTGCCAATAGGTAGAAGGGCTGCGATCCACAGGAGGGCGCTAATAGGTAGGAGAGCCCCGATCAACATCCCGAGTTTCGATAGTAGGGCACCGATAGGTAGGAAGTTGGCGAGCAGCAGGAGGGCGCCAATGGATAGAAGGGCAGCGATCAACAGGAGGGCACCAATAGGTAGGAGGGCCCCGATCAACAATCAACAGGAGGGCGCCACCAGGTAAGAGGGTGGCGAGGAACAGGAGAGCACCAATAGGAGGGTGGCGATCAACAAGAGGTCGCCAATAGGTGGGAGGGCGGTCATCAACTGGAAGTCGTTAATGAGCGGAAGGGTGACGATTAAAATGGGGGTGGCAATGGTGAGGAGGGCGCCTTTGCTCAAGAGGATGACACGAACAGGAGGGCGTCTGTGCGGAGGGCGCTGGTCAACAGGAAGGTACCAGTGGATAGGAGGGCGGTGATCAACAGGAGGGTGTCAGTGGTTAGGAGGGCGGCGATCAACACGAGGGCGCCAATAAGAGAAGGGCCCCGATTAACATTCAACAGGAAGGACTAGGGAACCAATAGGTAGGAGGGCGGCACTGAACAATAGGGTGCCAAAAAGGAGAAAGGCGGCCTTGAAAATTTCACATGAGGGCGCAATAGGTAGGAGAGCGCCAATAATTATGAGGACGCCGATCAGCAGAAGGGCGGCAATATGTAGCAGGGTGGCGACCTACAGGAGGGCGCCTTCGGGTGAGAGGGCGCTTATTTACGGGACAGCGGCTTACATAGGCGACCACCGTTACGCTTAGAGAGCTACAGCCTACAAATGTGGTTGGAGGGCGCCCGAGGGAGCCCTCCAACCGTATTTGGAGGGCGTATTTGGAATGGGCGTCCTCCGAGGGCGCCCTCCATCCGTATTTTCCCTGTAAACACATTCGCGATTGGAGGGCGCCCTCCAGTCGCGATTGTTTTTCGATTCGATTATATCACAATTGCATTTGCGATTGGAGGGCGCCTTCGGCGCCCTCCAATCGCAAAGGGCGCCTTCGGCGCCCAAGGGGGGGGGGGGCCATGGCCCAGTGGCCCCCCTGCCTACGCCCCTGGTTTCATATGAAGTGCAACGTATTCACAATGTCTCTAACTGTAATTACTCACGTGTTTTGTAGTTTCACGCAGCTGTCCCACCGCTTAGGTACAATACCACAAAACACTTCTTCACACCGACAGCCTCCGCGCTGCACATTACATCACACCTCCACAGAGCAGAAGTAAGTCTATTTACACCTCCACGGAGCAGTCACAGACCGGCTCCTTGTTGGACAGCCCGAAATGACAGACGGCGCCGGCCAGGGCGCGGCGCTCACATTCGTGGCGCATCGCCCAGATGTTGGCGGCGAGGACGCTGGAGGCCGCGCTGCCCACGTCACTCTGCTCCTGGGCGTGGGCGGCCGAGGCCGAGCCAGGTCGAACGGTGGGGTACAGCGTGGTCACCAGACAGCCGGCCTTCTTGCGGCTCTGACAGCGACACGTCGTCACACCGTGCAGGTAGTTACGGGTGAATTTGCGCGTCTTTAGCGACGAGTCTGCCATGAGAGCACAGACGGGCGCGAAGATCACCTCGTCGGCTGAGGGTGGGAGGAGGGAGAGTGAGTGCGGGCGGCGCAACATACCCAACAGACGAGATGGTGTTTACATACACTGGCGAATCCAAGGGACATAAGGGACATTTACCCGTACCGCAGGTCCCAAAATTGACGAAATTCGCCGTTTTCCATCCCTAAAAAATAGAACTGTATGCCTAAGAATCATATTGAGGGAGCTGATGGGCCAGTCGGAGCTGACTCCTAGGACTTTGTGATGAGTAGTAAGGTAGGTAGGCGTAGAGTACGGACTACGGGCGGTAGAAATTTCTGGTGGGTTAACTTGACCCACCAGAAATTTCCACCCGGTTAACTACCCGATAAAATTCGTAGCGGGTGCAGTGCCTATAATCATGCCTAATGCCGATCTTAAGGCATTATATTATTCAGATGCATCACTACACTTATAAATAGGATTCATTGTAAAATGATAGCTCCTAGAATGCCACGAATGGTGAACAATGTCAATGAACAATGCGCAGGGTATTCCATTGCCAATTTCCATAACCACAGATTATGACACTCTAGAAAGTGAAGCAAAATCAGTGGAAAGCGATATGGCTAGAACTGGAAAATCAAAGGGTGGCATAAACGTGCATCTTTCGCTATAACCGGGTCTGGTCTAGACTGGCCTAATTTCTCAGCAAGCCACAGGAAAAGAAGACCGGAAAACACGAGACTCGTTCTTGGAGCGCGATATGGAACGTCGTGAGGCAAACGCTATAGGAATTCAGACTACTATAGGTACTACATTTATTGAAGCATTGAATTCATGCCGCGCACGTATAGGTAATACTTTTTTATACGGGTATAATACAGGTTCTAAAAAAGCCAATCAGCCAAGCAATAAAGCAAAATAAAAACATGGCACAGTGCACATAGCACTGACAAATGGAGCCATGCAATCATGGCACATGGCTAGGCTTATACGGTAAATGAGTTATGGAAAACACCATTAACAGCATAACAGTCGATGTTCGGTAAAATAAATCTTTAAACGTCCATCACTGACGTCGTCCAGCAAAGAGCGCCCATAAGTTTTACGCCTCGAAACCTATGTCTCAGTCTCAGCCTATTGAACGTTCCGTTCTCCTTCCAGCTGTTATTTCAACTTCCAATTTTTATTATATTGCAGGTACCTATATTTATTATACTAATGGTAAAAATAAAATGACCTGTTTTATTCATACGCATAAACGGTAAAGCCCTATGCTCTTACATGCCCATCGCGTTTACGCGATGGGCATGTGAAGCGGTCTTTGGGCAAAAAATTCCGGCAGGCGGCTATTTTCCTGTTGGTAAAACTGGCCTCAGGACGCATTTCCAGTGGGCGCATTGGATGATGGCACGCGACTTTTTCAGCGATGTGTCTGGGAAGGTCTGACGTATTACGGTACGAATTCTTCTTCGGATAAGCGACATTTTTTAACCAATGTTTGGTCTAAATGCAGCGATGGTCGCCATTCTTCAGAGACAGCCTATTTTCCCGCGAACTACAGGCATCCGCGTGACTTGAGTATTCCCACTTATGGCATGGACTCTGCCAATCAGTGAATCTAGTCAGTCATCTGCTCTAGCCTTGAGTCCTTAACCCGGCAGGCGGTGGGCCTACCAGCCACCTTCCGCGCGGTGGGGGGGGGGGCATTTTTTTGCCCCCCCCCCCGTATCTCCGAAACTACTGGACGGATCCGGAAAATTCAAACGGCGTTCGATAGCCCTGTCAAATTTGTCGAAGGAAACCAAATTTCATTGACCTCGGGGTCATCGATGACGTCACAGGTCAGGTCAAAAATAAAATGTTTCACCGTTCACGGGGCTTCTAGGGAAAGTGCTAAACACCGAGTAAAACGCATTTTGTCGAAAATCAGCGATAAGGCGTCAGTTGTCTAGTACATATGTTGCTATTAGAGGTCACTGGTCATACCAGGTCAGGTCACAGGTCAGGTCCTGTTTCGCGTGTCGCCTTCCAGCCTGTGCACGCGACGCATTCTATTCCGCGTCACTGACAGCACTAAGAAAATCTGATGGCGGCCTGCGACCGATTGCCGTCGGCTCAGTCTACAGGTGACTTGCTACCAAGATAACATTGAGGTCAATTACACAGGAGCTAGGTCAGCAGCTGAGGCCGATTCAGCTCGGCTACGGCAGCCCTGGTGGCTGTGAAGCGGCAGTGCATGCAGTACGGCATTTCTCAGCTAACTTGCCTGATAACGAAGTACTCGTCAAGATTGACATGCGGAATGCGTTCAACACTGTTAGACGCGACAAGTTCCTTAGCGCCGTCAGACAACACGCGCCGTCACTGTATCGTTTGATGTGGCAAGCCTATTCTCAGCCGAGCTCCCTGTACTTTGGCACCACCAGAATCGAGTCGGCCACAGGACTGCAGCAAGGAGACCCATGCGGTCAAGCCGTTTTCTCCCTTGCTGTGCAAGCAGCGTCAAAGGAAGTGATGTCTCCATTTAACATATGGTACTTGGACGACGCGGTTATCGGAGGTGACATCGAAACGGTTTGCCAAGATTTGGAGCGTGTGATCCCTGCCTTGGCTCGGGTTGGTCTTGATGTGAACCCCAATAAATGTGAGATCATCCTACCGAGGGCATGTTCGAAGAAGAAGCGCGAAGGTAATGTTTTTCAATTACACCGGCTCATCCCAGGTGCGACAGTCACAGAAGAATCAGAGGCCATAATGCTAGGAGCGCCTGTGACTGACGAAGCTGCTGAAGCCGTCATTACCAAGAAGTACGAGAAATTTGACAGAATGGCCGGTCGTCTACAATACATTGACAGTCATTCTGCTCTATTTTTGTTAAGAAACTGCATTTGGATGCCCAAGTTGCAATATTTGCTGCGCGTATCCCCCTTTTACCGCCAACTGGAACTGCTAAAACCACTAGACGAAAAATTGAGGGTGACAACATCAACCATCACTAACGTTCACTTCGACGACAAGACCTGGAAACAGGCTAGCTTACCGACTAGGTTTGGTGGCCTGGGCCTACGACGCGCACAAGACCTCGCGCTGCCCAGCTTCGCTGCCTCCTTGAATCACTGCTTGCCGTTGTTGACAACAATACTGCCAGGAGAGCTCCATACCAGCATGGCCAAGGAACGTGACCAAACCGTTAACGCCTGGATCCGTGCAGCCGAAAACGCAGCTCCTCCAACTGGTGACGCTGTTTGCAGCCAACGCGCATGGGATTCTGTGCTGGCAGAACAGACTCAGAAGTCACTGCTGTCCTCCGGGAACCAGTTGGATCAAGCCAGACTCCTATCCGCAGCTGCGCCGGAGAGCGGCTCCTGGCTGCATGCCGTCCCCTCTGCAGCCCTCGGCACGCTACTGGACCCCGAGACGCTCTGCATCGCTGTTGCCCTGCGTGTGGGAGCCGATGTTTGCCAGCCCCACCAGTGCCGATGTGGAGCGCGAGCGGACAGCAGAGGTCATCATGCCCTGACCTGTCGTCTGAGTGCGGGACGTCACCCCCGCCATACTGCACTCAACGATGTGGTCAGGCGCGCTCTGCAGACCGCTTGCATTCCAGCGATTCTAGAGCCAACCGGCATCGACCGCGGCGACGGCAAAAGGCCCGATGGCATGACGGTGTTCCCATTCGCTGAAGGGAAGGCAATGATTTGGGACGCAACTTGCGTTAATACGTTTGCAGGATCTCACCTCCCGTCAGCCGCCACCTCAGCCGGCGCTGCAGCTAAGGACGCTGAAACGCACAAATGTCGCAAATACGAGAAGTTTACCACACGTTATATGTTCCAACCAGTGGCATTTGAGACGACAGGTGCCTGTGGTCCCTCGACCAGAGCCTTTGTGAAGGAATTGGGTGCGCGCATGGCCGCAAACAACGGGGACCGTCGGGAGCAGGCATGGCTGTGGCAGCGGTTGTCATTGATGTCCGTGAAGTTGGCGACGTCGCCAGCGACTTTTCCAGCGACGAGCACCGATTTTAGCCAAAACCTCGTCCAAGGTTAATTGGACCATGAGGATCACGAAAATCGAACCCATTCACCCCTAAACCTTGACCTTCAAGGTAAAATTCAAGGTCAAAGGACGGGGAACTGAAAAAGTGCCACTAAATATTGTCCGATTTTCAAAATTTTGGCATCAAAATGTAGTGCGTGCAAAGTTCTAGCCGCACATCGAAAACCATTTTCATCAAGGTCAAACTTCAAGGTCAAATTCAAGGTCAAAGGACGGGGAACTGAAAAAGTGCCACTAAATATTGTCCGATTTTCAAAATTTTGGCACCAAAATGTAGCGCGTGCAAAGTTCTAGCCGCACATTGAAAACCATTTTCATCAAGGTCAAACTTCAAGGTCAAATTCAAGGTTAAAGGAAGGGGAACTGAAAAAGTGCCACTAAATATTGTCCGATCTTCAAAATTTTGGCACCAAAATGTAGCGCGTGCAAAGTTCTAGCCGCACATCGAAAACCATTTTCATCAAGGTCAAACTTCAAGGTCAAATTCAAGGTCAAAGGACGGGGAACTGAAAAAGTGCCACTAAATATTGGCCGATTTTCAAAATTTTGGCACCAAAATGTAGCGCGTGCAAAGTTCTAGCCGCACATCGAAAACCATTTTCATCAAGGTCAAACTTCAAGGTCAAATTCAAGGTCAAAGGAAGGGGAACTGAAAAAGTGCCACTAAATATTGTCCGATCTTCAAAATTTTGGCACCAAAATGTAGCGCGTGCAAAGTTCTAGCCGCACATCGAAAACCATTTTCATCAAGGTCAAACTTCAAGGTCAAATTCAAGGTCAAAGGACGGGGAACTGAAAAAGTGCCACTAAATATTGTCCGATCTTCAAAATTTTGGCACCAAAATGTAGCGCGTGCAAAGTTCTAGCCGCACATCGAAAACCATTTTCATCAAGGTCAAACTTCAAGGTCAAATTCAAGGTCAAAGGACGGGGAACTAAAAAAGTGCCACTAAATATTGTCCGATTTTCAAAATTTTGGCACCAAAAT